TGAGGTCACAGACACCTCCACCCTGCCAGACACAGGGTGTGTGTCTCAGGCTAAGTATAGGCTCCCAGTCTTTTTGAGGAGTATGACAGATTAATTAACTAATTATCTTGAAGTAGCTGTACAAAGGGGTTTCAATTCAACATGTCAACTTATGAGTACAAAGCATCTTGATTCATGTCAGTCCTTCCACCATTCTTCTCTGTTTCCCAATCCCATCCATATGCTCAGGTCACCCTGTGCTCTGTTCACATATGTATGTTGTATATTATGGAGAAGTTAGCTGTTAAAGTCTAATATCTCCAAGTGGAGACAGAGCCATGGGTAATGGCACTCCTTGAAGTGGCAGAGGCTGGGAGGGAACTACCTGGTGACTTGTGGCAAGACTGAGAGCCTTCTAGACTGTTATCTGCACAGGTTTGACAGTTTTGCCCCCCCCCCTTGGCACATTACAATACTTGCCTTAAATGTTTGGAACAGGAACTTAGCAAAGTGATATGAGTGCATGATTCATTCATTCATTCATCCATTCATTCATGTTTGCAGTGACTACCTCCTCTGCAGGGGTGACCAGCAGCAGACTGAGAATGATCTGTGACATGGGATTGGGCAGTGCTGCATGCCAACAAGACCCATGGGGGACTCATGGCAGGGGAACAGAGAGTGGAGGTGGCTGCAGAGCTTTGCCTCTCCTTCCCCTGACTCCTGACAGTGCCTGCGTTCAGCTTCACATCCCCAGTGTTCAGAATAGTACCTGAATAGTAGGTGTGCAGATAGATAAATAAGGAGAGAATGAGAATAGTTTGTTTCTAACCAGTATTTCCCTTTTGACTGATGAGAATTATGCAAGTTTATCTGTTTTGGGGAGGGCAAGGGGGGAGCACAGAAATGGTAGGACCAAGGGTGGACAAATGTAGCAGTGACGCTTACTAGACACTATGCTGAAAATGAATTATACAACTTGTAGTGGGTAGGATGAGAGGGAAAAACTGGGAAAGAGTAAGGGAAGGGGTGACACTGAGCAAAAAGAGATGTACTCATTATGTGACTCATGTAACTGTAACCCTCTTTATGTCCCCTTTGCAATCATAATTAAAAATCATAATTAAAAATTGTGTTTTGAGCCTGGTCTTGTAGCAGCTGTTAACTGCGGGCGATCAAAAGGTGATCAGTATGAGAAAACTGGTCACAGAGGTAATAACCTCTTCACCTGTCCCTAATGTCATCACACAGAGACAGCTGAGACACCTTAGTGGCCAGAAGTGAGTTCAAGTGGCTCATACCTGTAATCCTAACTTACTCAAGAGGCTGAGATCTGAAGATCACAGGTCAAAGTCATCCTGGGTAGCAAAGTCTATGAGACTCTTAAGCTCCAACTAATTATCAAAAATCTGGAAGTGTGGGGGCTGGGAAGGTAGCTCAGCGGTAGAGTGCATGCCTTGCAAGCATGAGGCCCTGGGTTCCATTCCTCAGCACCACATAAACAGAAAAAAAAGCCGGAAGTGGCGCTGTGGCTCCAGTGGTAGAGGGCTAGCCTTGAGCTGAAGAGCTGAGGGACAGTGCCCAGACCCAGAGTTCAGGCCCCATGACCGGCAAAAAAAAAAAAAAAAATCTGGAAGTGGAGCTGTGGCTCAAGTGGTAGAGCACTAGCTTTGAGCAAAAGAAGTTCAGAGATAGTGGCCAGCCACTATCTCTGTTCAAGCCCCGGACCAGCACCAAATAAACAAACAAACAAATAAATAAATAACTTCAGTGGCATTTAGTTTTCTTTCCTGGAGGATGGAGGAAAAGTTTCCTGGGTGTCTTGCTTCCGCCCACTCTCTTCACCCCTTCTTTTGTCATATTCAGTGACAGCTTGACATTCCTAATATGGAAAAACCCTGGGGTGCTCTTGGCGAAATGAAAGTGGAAGTCAACCAGTGAGCTATGACCATGTCCAGCCAGCATGTGAGGACGGAGACCCACCGCCTGCCTTTCCTCCCAGCCTCCCAGCTTTGCAGAGAGCAGAGCCCTTTCTTATATCAGGGTACTGTTGGAAGGTTCACCTCTCCCAAAGTGGACACTGTCTAGATGAGAGGCAGGTGCCACACTGTAGACACACCAGCCCAGGAGCCTACTAGTGTTTAAATGCATGCTCTTGCTCAGAAATCAAATGAGCCAGCACTGGTGGCTCAAACCTGTAGTCTTAGCTACTCAGGAGGCTGAGATCAGAGCATCACGATTTGAAGTCAGCCCTGGCAGAAAAGCCCATAAGCCTTTTATCTCCAATTAACCACCACAAAACTGGAAGTGAATCTGTGGTTTCAAGTGGTAAAGTGCCAGCCTTGAGCACAAACACCAAGCAAGAAAAGAAAGGCACTGTTTCAACCCCCAGTACTGACAAACAAAACAAAATAATCCTGTGTGATGTCTTTGAGATGTGACAAGATGGTAAAAAATAGAGCTCCTATTGTCTCTGCAAGAACAAACAAACAAATAACCAATCACTATCATATGGGGATGTATAAATTATAAAGGGCTCTCATGGGCATTCTCCCTAGGGAATCTCATGTCTGGTAAAGTGTACCTGGTCAGTTCTGGTATTTCCATTTGGCAGCTCAGGACACTAAGACCCCAGGGTCTACTTAATGCCCTCACAAACCAGCCTTCCTGATCCTTGCACACCTATGGTCCTTGTCTATTGGAGAGGCAAAACTTTCAGCTACCAATCACTGAGGTCCAAAATCAATGTCAAGATCACTATGCACAAGGGATAGTAGGAGAAAAACAAAGGAGGGAGTAACAATGTTCCATAGGAAATGTACTCATTACCATACTCATGTAACTGTAACCCCCCTGTACAGTATCTTTACAAACAAAAAGATCACTATGCACTTGTTCTTGACTTTCACTTCTAAAATATGTCTGTCCTCAATGTCCACCAAGGTGTGGGCATTGGTTCCAATGTTGTTTCATACGAATTTTCTATTGACTGCTGTCTGGTGCTCATGTGGCTTGGGAGACATGGTGGCTCTTTCAGAGGCAGTGAGTTCTTCCAGGGAAAACACTGAGTCTCTAGCACTAAATGACTCAGATACTTTTTTTCCCCCAAAGGGTATCATAATGAAGACATCAGAGTTATACTTGTCTATACTTCAGGGAGAATGACTATGTGCCTGAAAATCCAGGGAATGTTTGTGTTGGAAAGGTTGTTGCCTTGGGAATTCACATGGACCCCAAGACTGGTGACTGGTTCCCCCTGATGAGCAGTTTTGTGATTGGTGTTATTTGACTCTTGTCTTTTTCTTGTTTGAGTTTTAAGGATTTTTCTTGGCAAAATCCTCGAAGGAATTTAGGTCTGCAGTTGTTCCCCCCCCCCCCCCCCACACACACATACACAATCAGCTTGAAAGTTTGCTTTATAGATAAAGGCTGAGCAAGGAGCAACCCAAACACCAAACCACGAGGGCTTTCTCAAAACTAAACATAAAGTAAAAATAGAGAACAAAACAGGAAACAGTGGTTTGCTAAAAAAGAAAAGCAATACTTGTAGTTGCCTGGCAAAGTCCCTTCCCTTGCTTGGCAGAATGCAAGTTCAGAGACGTCCCCTGCCAGCACTGCCCTGGTGCTGGCTACACTGATTTTTTTTTCTTTTTCTTTTTGGCTGGTCCTGAGACTTGAACTCTGAGCCCAGGCTCTGTCCCTGAGCTTCTTTTGCTCAAGGCTAAACACTCTACCACTTGAGCCACAGTGCCACTTCCAGCTATTTCAAAGTAGTTTATTGGAGATGAGTTTCATGGATTTTCCTGCCCAGGCTGGCTTTGAACTGTGATCCTTAGACCTCAGCCTCCTGAGTAACTAGGATGACAGGCGTGAGCCACTGGCACCAGCCTGCACTAGTTATAAATGATAGACATTTGCATAGGTTCTGGAGGCCATTACACTGTCCTAGCCAACCAGGCATCTCCAACTCCCCCCACGTCAGCTATCACTTAGCATCAGTACCATCTCTTTGCAGCCACCAGAGCTGTGGAGACGTGGCCTGAGAAATCAAATTTGCCCTTTTCCCAAAACCTGCTCCACTGCTAGCTCTCTGCCTTTTCTCCTGGCAACCCAGAATGAGAATTTAGGGGTTTATGCAAAGAACCCTGGGTGTGATCTGCACTCAGCCCACTAATAAATGATCTCATACATATAGCTCTTCTTTGACCGCCCATCTAGATCCAAGGACAGCTATGCTCATCTCAGAACCATTGTGAAAAATACAAGAGGTGGAGTAGGTAAATTTTGGCAGACTTGTTTGGCTACATGTGATGCCCTTATACCTTGCTGGGGTGACCTTCTTTGTGGAAAGTGGCTACTGACCCATGTACGGGGATACACGGATCAAAACATAGTGTTGGATGTGGTGGCTCATACCTGTAATCCCAGCTATTTGGAAGGTGAGATCCGGGCTAGGACAATTTGAGTAAAGCTAGGGAAAAAGTTAGGAGATCCGCTAACAACCAGCAAGCTGGGTGTGTCTAACTCCAGTTACATAGGAGGTATCAGTAGGAAGATCAGGGTCTGAAGTCAGCCTCTGGCAAGAACATGAGATCCTACTTAACAAAAATAACTAAAGGGGAAAATGTCATGATTGTTTATAACCCAGCCACAGAGACAGGAGTGAATGGCTGTGTATTTTTATTACCATTAAAAAAAATAATCCAAAGCTAAACTGAGACACTGAGTTGCGGGCAGCAGCATCTTGTGGTTGGTGACGTTGTCAGTTGTGTTTGGAGCCGGGATTCCAGTATCTTCTCTGCTGTTTCCTCCCTTATTGTCATCTCCTGCCAAAGATGATGATCTTTGAAATGGCACTAGGGAGCCAGGATAGCGACCCCAGGGGCCCAGTGCATGGTAAATGCCCTAGGCACCCCTCCCAACTGCTTCTCAAACTGATCTGATCTGGGTTGTCCTTGCAAACCAAGTAAATGCTCTGTTTGTTTTGTTTTGCTTTGTTTCGTGTCTGGACTAATGGTTAGCATCTCTTCTGCTTGTGAGTGATTTGCCACCTCATTCCGTAAGACTGGCACCTGCCGAGATGCAGACTCCGAGGACCCCGGGGAAGCGAGGCCGGCCCCCACTGCACACCACGCCTGGGAAGATGGCCGTTCATAATCTTTATTCTGTTTCCACTGCTCCTTTACCAGCCCTGAAGATGCCAAAGAAAAGAGGGCGGAAACCTGGGTACAAGGTACGACTCCATCCTCTCCTTCTCCACAATGGTACAGGGCTGGGTTCCCCAGGAACTCGGGCAGAACTGGACTCCAAAATGCCATGAAGGAGAAGTTGGTAAACCCAGGATCATAAAGAAGTCTTTCTCAGTAAAGCATGGGACAGACAAGGCCGCATGCTTAGCACAGGGCAAGCTCTTGTGTGCATTTTTATAAGAGGAGAAAGCAAACTAACCAGCTGGGGAATTATAAGGAGAGAAGATTTTAGGGTAATAGCTGAATTCATGTGGTTAAACCTCACTGTGTGTCAGAGCCTGAGCTGTTCCCTTTTGGTTCTGGCTGGAGTGGCTCTTGGAGTCACTTTCCGGAACTCATTCACCATTTCTTTTAGTGGAAGCAGATGATGTTCCTGAGACATTGAAATGAGTACTGTGAGCAGACCAGTATCAAAGGATGTAGAAATGACTTCTGGAACATGGGGAGTCAGTCATGAGAAGAATCTAGAGTGTTAATCAGAGTTTCCTGCTTAGAAATGGGTGTTGATGTCACGTTTGGCTACAAAGAGGCATATGAGGGAAGATTAAAATCATAGGACTCTTTTTATCTTTTTGTGCTGGCACTGGGGCTTGAACTTAGGCCTCATGCTCTCATTTGGCTTTATTCACTCACTTGAGCCACAGTTCTACTTCCAACCTTTTGCCTGTTATTTGGAAATTAAGATGGAAATTAAGATTCTCAAGGACTTTTCTTTCCTGAGCTGGCTTCAAATCACAATCCTCAGATCTCAGCTTCCTGAGTAGCTTGAATTACAGGGTGAGCCACCTGTGCCTGGTTCTGGTAACTCTTTTAAGAATGAACGATTTAGAGAATAAATAAGGATATGGGCACAATTGCATAAACGAACAGAATCCAAGTGCATGGCTCCTCCCCTCTTTTTTTTTTTTTTGTGCTGGTCCTGGTGCTTGATTCAGGGCCTGGACACTGGGCATTGTCTCTGAGCTCTTTTTACACAGAGCTTCTCCTCTCATTTTTTTTTCTTTTTTGGTCCGGTCGTAGGGCCTGAACTCTGGGCCTGGGCACTGTCCCTCAGCTCTTCAGCTCAAGGTTAGTGTCTACCACTTGAGCCACAGCGCCACTTCCGGCTTTTTTTTTCTTTTTGCGTATGTGGTGCTGAGGAATCGAACCCAGGGCCTCAGGCATGCAAGGCAAGCACTCTACCACTGAGCCATCTTCCCAGCCCTCCTCTCATTTTTTTAAAATAAGTTTTTTGTTGTGAAAATACTGTACAGAGGGGTTACAATCACATGAACAAGGTAATGAGTACATTTCTTATCCATCATTATTGCCTTTTCCTTTGTTTTTCCCCTACCATCCCTTCCCTCCCACCTCCACAACTACATCTCTCCCCTTCCCCCCTGCGGAAATTGTAAAGTTCGTTTTTTTGACAAGCATCTTGTACATCTCATTGTTGCAATGGGTCAACTTGTATCCCTATTTAAATAATTTGTTTTTTCCCTTCCCCTTCACAAATTATACTGACATGAAATACAGTGAAATGGGTTATGCTATGGGGGAGGGACATACAAAGCAACAAAAAATTACGTGGTACCTTATAAATACATTAGAAACAACAGCAAGCAAGAAAAAAAAACACTGTGTCTTTATCTTGGGTTTCATTTCACTTAACATCAACTTATCTGACCTTTTCTGCTTGACTCAGACATATACTAATTATTGCAAATAAGGGAAACCATGGGACCTATGTTTCTTTGCGCCTGGCTTACTTCACTTAATATAATTTTTACCAAGTCTTTCCATTTCCTAACAAATGGGCAATGTCATTCTTTCTGATGGAGGCATAGAATTCCTCCTCTCATTTTTTGAAGGGCTTAATGGAGAAGAAAGAACACTAAACATGGCCTCCATGAGCATTTCAGGCATTAGAAAATGAGTTGTGGAAGTTTCTTCCCACTTATTTTTTCCTGAAATCAAGGCTTATGTTTCCATCTTGAGACCTGAATACTGAAACCAAAATGCAAATTGGCAATTAACTTTCATATATTTAGAAAAATGTATGGAAATTATTTCAGGTCAGCAGGAAGAACTTCTGGAAAAGTTGGTAATCAGTTCAACCTTTATTCCTTTCATTCTCCTAGTTCTTCCAAATGTTGGAGAATAAAGCAGCAGGTTGGGAAAAGGAGGGGCTTATCCCAAGCTATTTTGGGGTCATTCATTTTAGTTTAGTTTTTTTTTAGTGTCTTTGTTTGGCTCTCAAAAAATAATGTTTTCTTCATTGGTTATTTTTCTAACAAAAGGTACCTCCTTTGTTCATGATACCCATCCCCCAGCTTTTGAATTATGTCTCTTACTGAAGCTGGCCCAGGACAGGTGTCATCCAGATAGGTACCATACCCTTACCAACATCTGGGAATTATATCTGGTGGCTGAAGCAGGGAAGCCTTTCTGTTTATAGAGCCAGGAAGCAGGTCCTGTCTCTGAAGAAAACACATTGAAACGTTCTCTCTCCTATTTGGCCTTCTTCCTGATCCCTTGGGGGCTGTGACCCAAGAATGAGAATTAACAACAGACAGAGAATTTCTGGGGCCAGCATGAATGGAAATTCATTCCATGAAAGGAACCTGATTTTGCAATTTTCCTGTCTCCTCAAATGGGCAGTTTTCAATGCTCTTGACACTCAGAACAAAAGCTTTTGGGCTGGCTGGCTAATGGTTTGGAGTCCTTGTCACACAGAAATGTCTAGGCTTTTAAAGTCCACTTCCCAAAAAATTACGGAAATGGATGGAAATCATTTCAGTCGGAGAGTCCCAGATGGCTTCTCAAGCCACGATATTAATGTTCTAGAATAGTTCCAAATCAGCGCCTATCTGCGATGACATCCCTGCCTGGTAGAGCATGAGGACCGTCTGCGTAAAGCGAAGGAGATTCCACGTAAAACAGCGTTCATTATTCTCAACTCTATTTTACTAGCACGCATGAGTCGTCCAACTGGGGTTTCACTGTGACTTTTCCCCACATGTAAACAACATATCCCCATCAACTTCACAGCCCCTATGGCTCTCCACCCTCACACTCCCCCTTCTTAAAACAATTTCAACAGATTTTATTGTTCCATTCTCAAAACTACACAGACCATAGTCATCCCCATTCAACTTCTGTTAGCCCCTCCCTGCTTTGGTACCCAACTCCCCATTGGAGTCTATTTACTTTCTTGTCATTCATTTCTTCTTGTGGAAAAGCCACCAAGGAAATGGAGCATTCTCACTCCACTTACCAAATGACCGCTGATTTGTTAGTTTTAACTATGTGGGACACAGTTGGAGAGCCAGAATTTCTTTTGGTTTTGTTTGTTTGTTTACCCAGATCTTTCTTCCCTTAAAGAACTTGTATTTATTATTATTACTATTATTAGTGTGTGTGTGTGTGTGTGTGTGTGTGTGTGTGTATGGGGGCTTGAATTCAGGGCCTGAGCACAATCCCTGAGCTTCTGTATTCAAGGCTAGCACTCTGCCACTTGAACCACAGCTCAACTTCAGGCTGGTTAACTTTGGTGATTAATTGGAGATGAGTGTCTCATAAACTTTTCTGCCCAGGCTCATTTTGAACTGTGATCCTCAGATATCTGCCTGTTGAGTAATCAAAGTTGGGATTGTTTACAGGCATGAGCTACCATCACCTGGACCAAACACATTTCTTTTTTGGGAGGGTCCGGTCATGGGGCCTGAACTCTGGGCCTGGGCGCTGTCCCTCAGCTCTTCAGCTCAAGGCTAGAGCTCTACCACTTGAGCCACAGCGCCACTTCTGGCTTTTTTCTTTTTGCCTGTGTGGTGCTGAGAAATCAAACCCAAGGCCTCATGTATGCAAGGCAAGCGCTCTACCACTGAGTCACCTTCCCAGCTCCAAACACATTTCTTATAAGCTCAGTTCTCAATGTCACAGTCTTGCATTTGAAGGGGAAATCACTACAGGATAAAAGGACAATAATTTATTTTTATTTTTATTTTTGTCAGTAGTGGGGCTTGAACTCTGAGCTTGGGTGCTGTCGCTGCACTCTTCAGCTCAAGGTGAGTGCTCTACTGCTTGAGCCACAACGCCACTTCCAGTTTTCTGGTGGCTTATTGGAAATAAGAATCTCATGGACTTTTCTGCCTGGGCTGTCTTTGAACCTCTTGAGTAGCTAGGATTACAGGTGTGAGCCACCGATGCCCGGCACGATAATTATTTTCTAATAGGATAATAATATATGAACATTGCAGAACAATATAATGATGTAACACCACTCATAAAATAACTAAAATTCATTACATAAATAAAATGATCATAGTGATATATTCACATTAATAATATTACATAATGAAAGAATATGATTTGAACCTTTATCAGGCTCATCTCTAGGAGTCTGAGGACGCCTTTGTGCGCACTCGATCTTGCTGGGTGGTATTTGTTACTTCGGTCTGGTCCAAGAATGGACCCAGGCTTCTCCCTTGCAGACCAGACCCAAGCAATGAGCCAGCAGTGGCCTCGAGCTGCTTCTGAGTGTTGAGGATGACACGGGTGAATTGCAGGCAGTAAAAGAAGGTCAGAGCTGCAGCAAGATGTCAAGCCCTGGAGTTCAGAGGTCAGGCCCCTCCCAGGGCCCATCTGTGTACCACATTGCTGGGGGGGGGTTACCACTGTGAGAATGACACTTTTTATGGCCTCGCTGGCCTTTTGTTACCCTCCACAAAGGAAACAAAACCCTCTTAATCGTATTTTCTACCAAGAGATGCTCCACCATTCCAGGAAGCCCTCTTTATTTTCAAATAGAACACTTACCAGCAAGCATTTTATGTTAGGTCATTAGTTAAGAAACTCCCCAGATCAACAAGGGACTTTTCCTTACATCTCATGATTGAAGAGCCCACCAAGGTCTCTTTAAGGAGGCCAGAAGGGCCTGCTCTAAAGATATACCCTGATTTCTATATTGTATGTGCTATAGATTCTAATGACTTCAGGTGGTAGTGTTTCAATCTATGTGGGTGCATGTGTGTGTCCATGTGTCCATGTGTGTATGTCCGCGTGTGTGTGTCTGTGTGTATGTCTGCGTGTGTGTGTCTGTGTGTATGTCCGTGTGTGTGTGTGCGTGTGTGTGTGTGTGTGTGTATGCATGCATATGCATGCCAGTGCTAGGATTTGAATGGGCATTGCCCCTTAACTTTTTTCACTCAAGGCTCGTGCTTCACCACTTGAACCATAGTTCCATTTCTGGCTTTTTAGTGGTCAATTGGAGATAAAAGTCTTATAGACTTCCTTGCCTTAACTGGCTTCAAACAGAGATCCTCAAATCTCAGCCTTTTGAGTAGCTAAGATTAAAAGCATGAGCCTCCTGCATCTAGCTGGGGTTTTATCTTGTTTGCTAAGGCTATGAACTGAATAATAGTTCTTGAAGAAGACAAAAAAGAATTAGTTTCTTAGTGCACATATTGGTTCTACAAATGGAAAAGAAAGGTGAGCTGATCCTAGATTCCCAGCCCCTTTGTTGGCCACTCCAGCTGGGATCTTCTTCCATTATCCCATCCTGACTCTCTCAGAAAGCAAAGAGTCATCCTAGCCAGATCCTGGGTGAGCTTTTGAATTTCAGGTGAGAGTTCTCACTGTATCCATTTGTCTAGGGCTGTTGGTCTTGGAGGCTCTTGTACGTCACAACAAGGCCTTCCGGACGTCAAGTCTTTCAGTCTGGGGCTGCCAAGAAAATGCCTCTCTGTACTTGCTCAGTTCACTCTGAAAGTTCTCACTCTTAGTATTTTATATATAAACTCTACTTTAGGCTAGTTGGAGATTTACAGAAGAGTTGCAGAGACAGAGCTAGTATTCTATACTCTCCATCTCTTATTTCCCCAGTTAGCATCTTATACCTCCAAGTGAACCAATGATAAAGCATTAGATTATATTAAGTCCATTATTTTATAGTTTGCTTCAGATATTCTCTATTCTGTTCCAAGATTCTTTTCAAGATGCCATATTGCATTTAGTCATCATTTGTCTCGATCCCAAGGCCTCTCCTTCCATTATTTCCTAAGTTTATTCCAATCAGGAATGACCCCATATTAAGATTTCAAGCCAAAGTACAACCCCTCAATTGCACTCCTCAGTTCTCTTCCTTCTCTATTTCCACTGTCAACTCTTATCTCCTAACATACTATGCATCATGCCACTATCTTATCTATTTTCACCCCCCCCCCCGTTAGAATGTCAGTCTCATGAAGGTTCTGTTTTCTTTTTATTTCAGTGTCACAACCTTTCTTGTTAAGTTGCTAATTCTTCTTCTTCATCATCATCATCATCATCATCATCATTGCTTCTGATACTGGGACTGAACTGAGAACTAAGCCTCATGTATTCTGGCAAGTGCTCTACCTCTTGAGCCATGCTCCACTGTCAGACAACTTGCTAAATCTGACAACCACTCAGGTCTTCTGTGATCAGAACCTTGGCTGTGGTTAACCGCAGTCTCCTCCTGAAACACTTTCTGCATTTGGCTCTCACAATGCATTTGGCTCTTTTACTTTCCTTTCTTCTCCACTGGACACTGTCTCTTGGCTCTTTGGCTCCTCCTCCTCTTTGCTGCAGCTTCTCATGTTTTGGAGTCTTGTAGAGCTTAATGTGGGCATCACCACTCTCTGACATCTTAAATATTATCTCTGTATTGATGATTCCCAAATACTGTCCTCCATTTGGACTGTCTCTAGATCTTCACACTCAACTATCTATTTAACCTATTGACCCAAGCTATCCCATGATCTTCTCCATCCCCCTCCACTTTGCTGCCCTTACCCTAAAAAGCTATCCCTGTTTGGGCCAATTGTAGCTAGTTTCTCCCATAACCCCATATCCAATGTGTTGGTCAATCCCATCAATTCCACCTTCACATTCCATCCAGAATCCATGTACCACCCATCACCTCCTGTAACATTACCCTGATCCAACCTACACCATCTCTCATGCACTCTACATTAGTGGTCCTCCCACTTCATCTTTTCCAGCCTCTTCGCAAGACAGCAATCTGAAAGATTGTTGATTTTTTGCACCACACCTTTGTATGAGGTGAGCTCAAGACACCTCTCTTAATATATCGCTGTTAAGGTTCTCTGGCCTCTTCCCTCTTCATTCCATCGTTAGCGCTTACTCAGCACACTTACACCAGTTCATTTTATTTGCTGTCTATCTCCCCCTAATAGAATTTCAGTTCTATCAGGACAAAGATAGATTTGTTTTGTTGACTCTTTTTCCCTGTTGTATTCCCAGCAGCTTCAAGAGTGGCTGTCATGAAACAGGCTTTCTGAATCCATACACAAATGAATATAAAAGATTGGATAACTCGCAGTGAGGAGACAGTATAATACAGAATCATTATAATACTGTTTTATCATACTCTTATTTTTATTCTATTCTCAAAACCCAGGAAGAAAATTCGAAGATGGATGGGGATGGTATATATGTTAACAACGGGACATACAAACTTGCTGCTCAGACATGGTCCATGGACCACAGTCTTGGTCCCTCCCAGGAGCTAATGGGAAGTGCAGAATTCCCAGTCCCACATGAAACTCCTGGAATTTGTGTTTTAACGAAGCCCCCAGGAGGCTGCTCACAAAATCTGACAAGCGCTGATGTTGAGCAGTGCTCACCCTTAATTGTGTGTTAGAACCAGTGCGTGGGTCTCACAGACTAACCCCTCCCTTATCTGGAATGGGCTCGGATGTAACAGTGGTGACATGTTTATTCCTTACCATGGGGCAGAGAGCTAAGCTGGTCTCTGTACCAAGCGTGGTGCAGAGTGATTTGTTAATACCGATCGCATCCTTGAGGCATCTCCATCTCAAGTCTGCAAGAGCAAGTTTCAACTCCTTGATTGTGGTGGCAGATGAGACTCCCCACAGTGAGCGCCTGCTGCTCACTCCCGTCCACATCCAGGCCAGCAGGGTCCATGCTGCAGGAAATAGACACCCTGCCGCTTGCGTCCTGTGCCAGGATACAGCAGGATTCAGTGCAGTGGTCTCTGCAGAGTGAGGAGGGGTCTGGGTCAGTCTCTAAGTGGGGGCGGCCATGGAGAAAACCTCGTGCATGGGGTTCTAGGGAGTACAGGCATGTGGGGAGAAAGCATTTTGCATTCAGAGGGAGGATTCGTTTCCACTCTTGATACCTTTGCACATTCCCCCACCAGTGCCCCATTTCCTGGGTGGCTTTGCCTTAAGGAGGTGATTTGGAGCTGACCTCTGAATGTGACCCCCAGTGGGGTTCTTGAGCATGACCTGGAATTGGCAGCCTGTCAAAGCTGCAACATTAGAAAGATGTGGAAACATGGTTCAACTGGTGTACAAGGAAAGAGTGTGAGACAGGTGTGACTTTTGCTGACCACCCAGGCTCTCTTACAGCTCAAGCCTCCAGTTCTCATGACTCCATTAGCCCTCTCACCTCCGCGGAGCACCCCAGAGCCGGACCTCAGCTCCATCCCCCAGGACGCAGCCACCATACCCAGCTTGGTGGCAGCGCAGACTCTCACAGGTAGGTGAGCAGGTAAATAGATGGCCTGTTCTCTGACAGCTTCTTTGTGAGCTGAAGAGCTGCCAACGGAAGGATTCGATGTGGTAGCTATGTCATGGATTCTCTGAGATTACTCTGTCTTGTAGTTTGGATTATTTGAAATTCGGTTTGCAAAGCATTTCGGGTTCAGCGGATTGCTTTGGGGTAGGACAAAATCTGTTCATAAGAGTGATCAGATTTTTTTTTTGTTTTTCTGGGCCAGATTTCCATAGTAACAAGTATAAGCCTGCTGTTTCTGTTCTGTGTTTGTCCTTTCAGATTTCCAAAGATTGCTACTCTCTCCAAGTCCTGTCCTAGTGCCCTCCAATCTGGTCAGAGTAGTGAGCATTTCAAACTATGTCTTCAAGAGAGTCTACTCCCTCCCCAACAGTTTTATCCTAATGGTAACAGCAATGTAACTGGGTCAGCTATGTGCTGAGTACACACACACACACACACACACACACACACACACACACACACACACACTGCACACACATACCCCCCCACACACACCTCAACCCCACTTTTTACTCTGTTGTGCTTAAGTAAAGACCAAACCCATTAATATGGCTGACAGGGCTCTGCAGGCTCCATTCCCCTGTGACCCTTCCTACTGCTCTACTGTCAGTTCGAGGGGCTGGCCAGAAGGTCTCAGCACAGGCTTGTCCTCCATCTGGAATGAGTTCCCCTTCTGCTCGCCCTATCCTTGTCTTTCACCTCAGCACAGACATTCCACCTGCCAGAGAGTCCTGTCTGCCTTCCCTGCCAGCCCCTCTGCTCTCCCCTCAGCTCCTGGGGAAACCTGCTCTGTTACCACCGAACTGCACAGTGCCTCATGCTCCTTCAGGAAGCGGGGCTCCAAAAGGGAGGAGGACTCTGCCTGACCACTGAGTAGCAAATTCTTTTTTCTTTTTCTTTCTTTTTTTTTTTGTCAGTCATGGAGATTGAACTCAAGGCGTGGGCGCTGTCCCTGAACTCTTGTGCTCAAAGCTAGTGTTCTACCACTTTGAGCCACAGCACCACTTCTGGTTTTCTGGTGGTTAATTGGAGATAAGAGTCTCAGACTTTCTTGCCTGGGCTGGCTTTGCAGCGTGATCCTCAGATCTCAGCCTCCTGAGAAGCTAGGATTACTGTTCAGCTCGGCTTTGAATTCTTTTTTTTGTCAGTCGTGGGGCTTGAACTCTGGACTTGGACACTGTCCCTCAGCTCTTCTGCTCAAGGAGAGTGCTCTACCGCTTGAGCCACAGCACCACTTCAGGTTTTCTAGTGGTTTACTGTAGATAAGATTCTTATGGACTTTCATGCTCGGGCTGGCATTGAACCGAGATCCATAGATCTCAGCCTCCTGATTAGTTAGGATTACAGGTGTGAGCTACAGGTTCCCGGCTTTTGGCTTTGAGTTCTTGATGTTGTCACACACACACACACACACACAAGAACCTGAGGATACTTTGAGGTAGAGAAAGCACACACTCAGACACAGGGACAGGCACATCTGATCACACGGGCAAAGTGTGCTTTCACCGCAGAAGTATTTCTAGTGAAGAAGCAGTTTGAGGTCTGGCTCAGCTTCACCCCAGGATATGTGTCTCCCTTTGTTCTCACAGCTGGTAATAGTTGGTCATTCTTGTTGTCTCACTGTTTTATCACTTGGGCTGAGAGACTTCAAGGTTTGGCCTGTTCACTCAGCTTGGGTCATTGATGTCTCAGGATCCCTTTAAACAAAGGCTGGGTTATGCCGCGTGCTCCTTTCAACACAGGTGTCCATCCTTGAGATTAAGTCTTTTCAAACACATTTTGTGCCAACGAGAATCATTTTTCCCCAAGTGCTTTATTTTTTGTTTCTTTCTAGGACAAGTTTCTCTCAGATATCTTTGCTCAGTTCTCAGGGACAATGAGTATTATTCGGGAAAGCAGACAAGGTCAGATGGAGACAGCTGCCCTTCTCCCATTTTTTTTTCCTTTTTACTAAACATTGTGGGTTAGGGCTGTGTATAAATTAAAAAAAGAACATAGTGTCTGTGTGCTTTTAATCAAGTTATTCGTTACACAGTGTTCATCTCTGAATTCCTGGTTATCTCCCATGTCTCATTTTCCTCAATCTGACCTACCTCTCCTCCCCCCTCTCCCCCCCCGGCCCCCAGCCACCACAGAAGCTGCATCTTCTCCTCCTGCTTCCTCCTGACTCACACAAATGTATTGTACTTGGAAAACTAGTGTGTAGATAGTCTAACATTTTTCTATTTTCCTACTAACATTGCACAGATTTGATCCTTTCCTGTAAATGTATGCAATACATTAATATAGTCGAGAAGAAAAATATCCTATCAACGAACATGATTTGGGGATATATGATCAAAAATTTTTATGGAGAAAGATCTATTACCTTGAATGTGTAGGAACCTTTGATTGGGCTCAGCTAAATGGCTTCTTGAACATTTATTTCCTCTGAGATTCTAAATACTCTCCTTAGAACCTCATTGAAAATATAGTCTCTTGAGTGATTAGCATCACGTCAATTTAATAAAGAATTGGTGATACTGAGGTTTGAACTTAGGACTTTGTACTTGCTAGGCAGATGAGCCAGGCTTCTAGACCTTTATTTATTTATTTGAAACCATATAGCCTATATCTCACCATATAGCCTAAGCTGGGGTGGAACTTACCATGTAGTTGAGGTTCAACTTAAACTTGATCCTCCTGCCTCTGCCACCCGAGTGCTGGAAGTATAGGTGTGCACCACCATACCCAGCCAGCATGTCAAGTTTTTAATTCATGGAAAGTTCACAAAGAAATGACTGCTTTATGTTCCTTTAGAGGAGGAAGAAAATATTTTGTAGTGTCCTTGCCCAGCATGGAGCTACATTTAAATACCTGGCTCACCATCACGGTGTCCAATTCTGATCTGAGTACTTTAGCAGACCCACCTGCCTCTCTGCTCCCTGCCTGGGGCTCCTTGCCCTGGCAGTTTCCCAAGTTTGATTCTTTTACCTCTTTTGTGAGCCCAAGCCTGGGACCCCAGGGGTGGGGGGCGGCCTGCTGCATGTTCGTTCAATGCAGGCATTGTGCTCTCTGTCCTCACAGTCTGCCTCTACGTCAACAAGCAGGCCAACACGGGGCCGTACCTGGAGAGAAGGAAGCTGCAGCAGCTCCCAGAGCACTTCGGACCAGAGAGGCCGGCAGCCGTCCTGCAGCAGGCCATCCAGGCGTGCATCGACTGCGCCCACCAGCAAAAGCTGGTCTTCTCCTTGATCAAGCAGGGCTTCAGTGGTGAGCTGGTGGCAGGTGAGGCCCAGGAAGCTTGTACAAGCAGGGCCATGGGGGGGGGGGTCTGAAAAGGATAGCAGGGAGGACATTGGGTGTGGCCAGGGCCTGAGCTCCCAGGAACTTTGCGAAATCATCTGTGAAATCATCTCCTAGAAATCATTTCTCAGGACTCCAGAATTTGCTTCCAGGTCTGGACAGGAAGACTGGACACCTGGGTCCTTCCCCTTGAGTTGTCCCTGTCTCCCATCCTCCACTTACAATCCCCTCAATAAATTTTATTGTTCTACCTTTATGATAATCCAGAATGCAGCCATTTTCACCACCTACAATAACCAGGGTTGCTCTTTAGAAACTCAAAGTTCCCACATGCCTTTCCAATGGCTCCCATGTTTGATCCCACAGATCTAGGTGAGTTGTCCCTGATTGAAGGAGAAGGAAGAAAGGTTAAAGAGTACTCCAGGTTGACACACAGAGGCATGAATCAGGCTGAGGTCTCCTCTAATAAATGACTAATAAGTAAGCCTCAGGTTCCTTTTGCGAGAGCCATACAGGTGAGCTAGACCCCCTCAAAGGTGGAGAAGCTGTGCTGGACATATGCTTTTGAGAACTAAGGTGAATTAAGTTGGCCCTGGTTGGGTTGTTCAGAACATAGCCACCTTTAGAAGCCCTGGATCCTCTGACCCTTTCTGAACTAGCCCGTAGGGTTGTCTGCATGGCACTATTTTGGGGGACCCTCCCCACACTGAGTTGCCATCTCTGCCTTTCCAGTGTCTGCCTCCTTTGATGGAAAGGAACACGTGAGGAGCGTGTCAGTGGTGAACAGCATTGGCTACGTCCTTCGCTTCCTGGCCAAGCTGTGCCGCAGCCTTCTGTGTGACAGCCTCTTCAGCCACCAGCCCTTCCCGGGGAGCCCTGGGGCCTCTGAGAAGGCCCAGGACAGAGAGGATGTGAGAACAGACTTGGGTAGGTCCCGTGTGACTTTCCCCACTGCAGGAACCTTGTCCCAGGCTGGCAGGTGCAGCGGCGGTGGGAGGAGCTGGAGAGTTTTCCTTGGAGGCTGGGCACTGCCTCTCTGGGAACACAGAGCCAGCTGGGATTTGAGGGCATCCAGACCATCCTCACCCCCTACGGGAGCTAGTGAGAGCTAACTGCTCACTTTGAGGCCTGGGTGGTTAGTTAAGACTTTAGACAGAGGCGATATTACATCCTGTGAGTGATTTTCCTCCCTCTGGAGCTACAGAATGGAGACATCGCCAAGAATCCAGAGCCAAAGACTAGATGAAGTGAGTGACAGTGTCACATCTCTCCCTGTGTGAAGAAGCAGGGGACAAATGTTTGTTAGAGGACATTGATTGGGTTGTGTATCAAATAATCTTCTGTCAAACACTGGGGTTTCTCTCTCATCATCCAAGATTTGAGCTACTTTTTGTATCAGAAGCCTTGGAATAGCTCAGGATGAAAGAAGGCTGGTGAACAGAGGAACAAGGCCACATGGATAAAGTTGCCCCAGTGTTGTCCTCAGGGCTCCATGCTAACAAGAGGTGCTCCTTCCTGCTTTGAAGCCCCCAGCCAGAGGTGCACCAAGAGTCCAAGAATGTCAAGATGCATAGAAACTTTCACCTGTTTTCCTTTCTCTGAAAGCAGAGTTGATCTATGAAACACACATGGGCAGTGGAGCCAGAATGGAGCCGTTGCACTCCTCTGTAACTAGCTATCAAACCTTGTGTGGCAGGCATGGTGGGAAAGATCTGTCTTGGATGAGACAAACGCAGGTACATAGGAATGTTTTTGAGGAATAAAGTGATGATGACAAGGGTTAGGTAGGTCTGTGCTCACAGGCAGTTTAGAGCATTAAACAAAAGGATACTTACAGTACAACAAGCTGCATCTCTATAGGTATGGTAGTACTTGACTTTAATCTTAGCACTAGGGATACCGAGGCAAGAGGATTGCTGGTATAAAGCCAACCTGAGCTACAGAGTGAGACTGTTGGGGTGAGCAGGGAGAATGGTTGTATCTGAAGACCAGAAGGACAGCAGGAAAGGATCAATTATATACTCATCATAGATTTTCTTGGATACCATTGAGAACCGTGTTTATGCTTTTGCTCCAATCTCTCTGAGACCTTGGAAGTGGAAGAAATTAGGCCTTTATAAGGAAGGAGCCTAACTGAACAAGGGTGGGATGCTGTATACCTCCACACCTTCCTCCATGTCTATGTATAAGCTAGGATGTCTCCTTGTCTTTCTGGACCCATTCTTGCCTTGGATGAGAAGTTGGAGGTGCTGGGATAGAATGTTCCCTCTGGTTTGGACAGTTTTACAATCTGGCTTCTCCTACAAACATTAGTCAATCCAGAAACATATCTCTTTGCTTCTCCCTTCCCCCTACCACTATCTCCTCCCCTCTCCCCCTTCCCCTCCCCCTCCTTTCTGGTCTTGAACTTACAATTCCCCCATATCAGTCATCCTTCTCAGCTCCCAAGGGCTGGGATTATAAGTATGTGTCACTGTACCTGGCCTTGAAACATACATAATACACATGTGCATCTATTGGGGTAGTAGAGGTTTGAACTCAGGACATTGAGCTTGCTAGGCAGATGCTCTACCCCTTGATTTATGCCCCCACCTCCATATTCTTAAGTGAATTGCCTTTCTACTAAGTCTGGCAGTGAGACTAGCAGAACAATGGGCTTTCATTCTCAAACCCTTGCCTCCTGCGCTGACCACACCAGTAGGCCGGGACCATAAAGACACACAGCTCGTGTGTGGAACCAGTTCTTTCCTGGCTGTGGATGAAATTTTAGGATAAACCTTGTGATTTTTTTTCTGATTCCTTTCACATTATGAAATGTAGTCAGAATCAAATATGCCCAGGTCAGGTGGCGACTGAAACTGAATTCCACTGAATTTCCTCTCCCATCTCACCTGTGTCATTCAGGCCCCTGCCCAAGAGCATGGCAGGCTTCATCACTCGCAGTTCATGGCCACGGCCAGAATACCTTCATCTTGGTTTCAGAACCCTGTAGGAAGTGTGTGTGTGTGTGTGTGTGTGTGTGTGTGTGTCTCACTTGGCAGTCCTGCTATGGTTTGGCATCACACTCCCTGATTCTGCCAAGTATCTTCCGCTAGTTATCCATGCTGCTGGCTCGGGCAGGATCTTCGGGGATCTTTAGCTACTCGACCTTGTGGACCGGGATGGGCAAATGCACCTCTTCTCTGGATGCTCACGTCCACTTCCTTCTTCATCAGAGGCCCCCACGGCCACTCCAGCTTCCCTCTGCAGAGGCTGCTGGGTGCCAGCATCTCCTCAGAAGGGAGCTTATGAAGTCATCTATGGTGGCTCCCTCTTCTGATGGTTCCTATCTGTGACTGAGAAACACGCGCTCCCTGCCCCAGGTGCAGAAGGAGCCCTGACTGTGCCTGGCCTTGGCCTTGCCAGCCAACGTTAGTCTTTTAGCTTTTCCCTGGGAATCCATGGGAATCCAACATATCTCCCAAATTTCAGATGACAAATAGCGACTGATTCCCATGGTCCTGGCAAAGCCATTGAGGAACCAGACTAGCTCTTTCTCCTCAGCATGCATCTTCTAGTCCACCTGTTTCTCAGCCTGTACAAGCCCGTGTGTACAGATACTAGAGGTGGGAGGCATCTACTGGCACACATGCAGCTGTCCATCCCTCCTTTTGCCAAACATTCATGGTGGTCACTTTGGTATGTGCTGTCCATTGTCACGCAGCTGCAGCCACAACCAAAAGGAAGATTTTGATATTGACATCTGTCCCCAGGAGAATGGTAGCAATGTCTCCAAGCTGCGGTGTCCAGCTTGGAGACAAAAAGCGGCTGCTCTTCCCTGGGAGCAGGGCCTGCTCTTTCCAGGGCCCCCTTCCAGAGGATCTTTCTCCCGTGAACTGAGAACACCAGGCTTCAGCGCGTGCGCGCGCGTGCACGTGCACACACACACACACACACACACACACACAGTGTTTTTGGCTTGCGCCCAGACTACAATACCTTCCCTCTAAGTCTATTCACTGACATTCAAAAATGCCTTGTGTTCTCCAGAGACCTTCTGAATGCATTAGAAAAAATGGATGCAAATGGACAGATTGGTAATATTGGTCAAAGTTCACGAGATGATTCTGGGGAAAATGATGTTTTATTTTTGAGTGTTGAAGTCTACAGTATAAATAGACTCTAGTTGCTCCTTCCCAAAGCACAGGAACAACCTGGTAGAAATCAGGGTCCGGTTCATCAGGGCTTGGGGGGAGCGGGGAGGAGAGGGGAGAGACCTGGGAAGTTGCATTTCTAACAGGCTCCACCAAGGCTCCTGACACCACTGTGGGCCAGCAGAGTCTGGCTTATACAGGGAAATCGGTTTTCAGTGTGTTTGTACTCAGGCACTTCATCATGGAGCGTCCAGTGTGCTTGGGCAGGGGTGCTACAGGTTTACGACAAGAGAAACACACTTGCAGATGCGGAAGGAGAGTAAAAGAAGGAAAGAATACAACAAAGTCCTCACTGTGACCTAGCCACAACCTGCAGTAGGGGCTCTGTTTGCCCTGTAACCCCTCTATAGCTTGAATAATATGTCTATCTATGCTCCCTGCATAGCCCCCCACCCACCCATTCACAAGGACTTTTTTTTTTTTAATGTGTATGCCAGTCCTGGGACCTGAACTCAGCAACTGAATGCTGTCCCTGAGCTTTTTTGCTCAAGGCTAGCACTCTACCACTTGAGCCACAGCTCCACTTCTGGGTTTTTTGGGTGGCTAAATTAGCAATGAGTCTCAATGAGTGGCTGGCTTTGAACTATAATCCTCAGCTCTCAGCCTCTTGAGAAGCTGGGATTACAGGCGTGAGCCACCAGCGCCCCTCTTCACAAGGACTTTGATCCTGTCTTAGACCTCAGGACTCTGGGTCCGTGGCTCCTTTACTCTGCTAGATCCATCTGAGGGAAGTGCCAAGCAGAAAGGAACTCAGGGATGTTAACTAACTTGACATCACAAAACCCACCAGAGCACACTGTCTGCCCTGCCAAGAGTAGGGGCTCTCCTTGGAAATCACAAGTGCTATAGCTGAACTCTCCTGCAAGGTCCAATTTGAGTTGTTGCTTTCCTTCCTGCTTCTGAAGTTCGAGTGGCAAGGGAACAAATGGTTAGGTCTTGTTGAGTAGCTTCTTTAGGGTACAGAGGGGTGGGGGGGAGAGAGGAGGGTCCTTTGCTCTCCAGGCTTGTCTCTTGTTTTCTTTTGCTGATGGTCCTTGGGTCCCTCATGGTGTTCCATCACAGCCAAACTATACACACAGCATTTAGAAAGCAAATCTGTTCCTCATTTAATGACAGACACAGGGAATGTCTTATCTTTCTGAAAGATGGCATATTTCTAAGGGAGACAGGATATCCGTACCTAATGACAGAGAGCCAGCAGCTTGCTTCACCAGAGCGACAATGTAGTAGGCTCCCTGCCTTATCCACAGCTCTGCTTTCCATACTTATAGTAATGCAGGCTCAACCATAATCTAAAAATAGTAAATAGAAAATTCCAGAAATAAAGAACTTCTGTGTTTTCATTTGCATGTCACAGTAGTATGATGAAATCTCACATTGTCTCACTAGGTCTCATTCGGCCCAATGTATCTTCCCTGCATATGCAACCCTCTCCTTAGTCACTTAGGGGCCATCCATGGTCATCAGATCAACTGTGTCAGGGTTGCGGGACTGTGTTGTAGGAGCCCTTATTAAACAGCCTGCGCTCCATCACAATACTGAAGTCATTTACACGCTTCATCTCTCATTTACAAAAATTCAGTACAGAAAAGGGTTTTTAAGTTGTTGTTGCTTGGGGACAAGTCCTGGAGCTTGAACTCAGGGCCTGGGCACTATCCCTGAGCTCTTTTGCATAAGGCTAATGCTCCATCACTTATGTCACAGTTCCACTTCTAGCTTTTTGGTGGTTATTTGGAGATAAAGAGTCTTGTAGCCTTTTTTGCCCAGGTTGGCTTTGTATTGTGATCCTTGAATCTCAGCCTCCTGAGTAGCTAGTGTTATAGGTGTGAACCATGGACACCTGGCTTACTTCTATTTTTATTAACCATTGCCATGAATCTCTTACTGCACCTAATTCAGAAATTAAACCTTAGGTTTAATTTAATCATAGGTATGTATTTGTAAGAAAATATGGTGCCTGTAGAACATAGCACCATCCACAGTTTCAGGCATCCCCTGAGGATCTTGGAGCGTGTACTTCATTAATGAGAGATTGCTGTTCTAGAGGGTTCTGTGAGCCTGTGCCTCATTCATAGAGACTGCTGGTCTAGAAAGTTTTGTGAGCCTTCCTCCAAGTTAAAATGTCCCCTTGGAGCTAAAACTTATCCGATGATTCCTATTCCAGGGACTCACAGCATTTTTTTTTCTGATTGAGGACACTTTTAATTTCTCTAGCTTATGAAAGATGACATAGAGGTCATAGAGAAAATGGAACCCTGATGACAGGGGCTCACCCACCTTTCCCTTCCCCTGCTCATGGGAATCCTGCAGGCCCAGGCGCAGAGGCTGGCAAAGCTACCAGGTCATGTGGAAGATGGCTGTAGAGGCTGCTCTCCTCTTGAGACTAAAAGGGCATTTCTATTTCCAACAGCTGACTTGGGTCAAAATTGTCTTTGGTCCAAGTTTCCAGTGGAGTAAAATCCACTGATGGCTTAGAACAAAGTCTTCAGCAAACCAGAGGAGGACGAAGGAAGTTCAGGTGTCAGGCATTAAAATTATGGTTGGTTTCTGTACATACATCTCATTAGGGGAGAGGGGAAAAAAAAATAGGAAAGTACTTAAAGGGACCAGAGGGGAGTCAAAATTGATCCTAAGAGCTGAGTGATCCAAGCTAGAGACAGGCTTGAAGAGAAAATCCATACCGGCCAGAGACCAAGTTAATGGAAAATTTAATTGAAAAGAATGAAATGCCGGCCTCCTAGGTGGTGTGGCCTGGTGCCCTTTGAACCGGGAAGGCTGGGCCACCAGGCCCCAAGGGCCTTGAGGGAACACACAGGGCTTATCAGCAACAAGCACAGGGGGCGGGGCTGAGCCCCACAGCAGAAAAATCTGCCAGCCTCCACCACAGCCTCCCTGAAAGGCCACAGAGGAAGAAGGAAATCTGGTCTCTGTCACCAAGAGGTCTCTTGCAGGTCCTGTGGCCGGGGCCCCGCTCTGTGGCTCACACACATCAGTCACATGCTGGGAGCCAGCAGCTGCCTGAGGAGCGAGCGTGGGTGAGGCTGCCTGGTGGCGGGGACACCAGACCCCAGGTAGGACATGCGACACTTCCTCTGGGCTGAGCAGAGAGGTGTAGCTCCCCAGGACAGCGGCCGCTCCCTCCTGGCTATCACCTCCTCAGTAACTGCCTCCTGCTTCCTGGCAGGATTCCGGGCCTCCATCCTGGAGGTGGCACCTGCCTGAGCTTTGGCAGGCATGATTCCACAGCTCGCAGCCACCCACCTTCCAGCTTGTGGGTTTAGGGCTGGGGCAGATCAGAGGCACTGACGCCTCTTGAAGTGACCGGTTAAGCCGGTCACACTAGAGCCTTCTAGGCACTGCCTGGAGCCTGGGAGCCTGGGGCTGGCTGGGCTGAGCTGAGCTGTCAAGGGACAGGCCAGGGATTTATTTTGAGAAAGGCCATGGCTCCCAGCCTGGGGGTAGGTGGAACTCTGTGTGTGTGTGTGTGTGTGTGTGTGTGTGTGTGTGTATGTGGGTCCCAGCCTGAAGTGGAGGTAGGTGGAACCATGTGGGGGGGGGGGGGAGGAAGTAAATGTGTTTAGAGACGGCATCTACATTTGGACTTTGTGGATGGTGGTCTGAATAGGTTTGGTGTGAGCCATTATTACTGAGGCTCAGGGTGTTCTTAGGCTAGGAATACAAACCAAATGGCAGTTAAATGAAATCAATTGTCCCAGCTGCCACTGGTGTGAATCCTGAATGGAGAGCTAGGCTTGGTTAGGGGTGTGTCGTTGCACCCCAGTCTCTCCCCGTCTTGGGACTTTCTCTTCCTCTCCCTGGCTCTTGGCTTTCACCTTCCTGCCCCTTTTCCTCCTTCCACTTCTCTTCGGAGGTTCCTTGCGTTCCAGGGGCTCCCCCACTCCTGCCCCCACTCCAGGACCTCACCAGGAGACCCTGGATGCCTTGCAGGTTTGAGTGGGCTTGCATGTTCTGGATGCTCTCTGCACTCACCAATGGGCAGCAGCGAGGTAAACAAATGAGCAAGGCTGAAAGAGAAATGCCAGATTCTCTTCAAAGTTCTTAAGATACCAGCATTTGCCCTGAACATGGGACCCACGCCTTTGTGTATTCACCTGTGTCATTTAAGCACGTGCTTGTGATTATTTTTAAAAAATGAATATTCTTTTTTTCCTTTTGCTAGAGGAAATGCAATTATTTACAAAGTGTCCCCAAACCTCTCGTCCACCCTGCTTTGCTGAGCTGGTGAATAAACCTGTGGTGGATTGGAGAGGCCAGGGCGCAGGCAGCTGATTGCTCGTGGAAAGGGGTTTTGTAAGGGGCCACAAGGTCATGACCTCGAGCACAGCATCCTTGTCTGGCAGCCCATGTGGTTTCCAGGAGTCCATCCCCCAAGGGTCCTGGTTCTGGTGATTTCAGGTCTTCTGGCCCCACCTGCTGTCCACTCTCCAGGCAGCCCAGAACCACTTGTGAAGTATGACCGTCTCTCCAAATAAAAATGCATTTCTTTTTTGAAACCAATTTTTCAATAATGGGGTTAGATCCTAAATTTGTCACTGTGCAATAAAATTCTTAAGCTACTAGAAATTCTGCATCCCTTCAGTTCATCTACCCATATGTCGAATGACTTCCTGTTTTTGAATAGTATCAAGAGTATGTATCCAACAGTGATCATTTAAATTCAAGCAAGAAGTGTTAGAGTTCAATATAAAGAACTTTCAGTCGATAAGATTTATAGTGCAATACCCTAACTGTAAAGGAGAGTAAATCTCTTTAGGAAGCTTTTAAATAAGAGGCCTGCGGGGCACTGGTGGCTCAAGCCTGAGAAGGTAGGATCTAAGGATCATTCAAAGCCAGCCCTGGCAGGAAAGTCTGTGAGACTCTTTTTATCTCCAATTAACCACAAGAAAGCTGAAAGTGGTGCTGTGGCTCAAAATGGTAGAGTTCTAGCCCTGAGCAAAAAAGCTCAGGTACAGTGCCCAGGCTCTGAGTTTAAGCCACACAACAGACAAAATAAAATAAAATAAGAGTCCCAATATGAGCCTTAGTTCCTGCCTAATGACAAAGTTTGAGTCCAGCTCAGTGCATTCTAAATGTTAGTATGCTTCCTTCACAACTCTTACTCAGTAACATCAATAAAGCGGTTTACTCCGTTGATTTAACTGTTCCCATTGATTTAACTGTTCATTCATTTTTCTTTCTTCTTCTTCTTTTCTTTGATTGAGCTAGGATTGAACTAGGGCCTCACACTTGCTAGCTGGGCTCTCTACCACTTGAGATTTTACACCCCACACCCTTTTTACCTTAGTTATTTTTCAGGTAGGATCTCACACCTATTGCTCTATCATCTGTAACAATTCTTACTATACTTTAGCTAGCAGTCCTTTATCAGATACAGGATTTGCAGATATTCCCTTCTGATTTGTGAGCTGCTTTTATTCACTTTCTTGCTGATGTCTTGATGAAGTCCAGTTTACCTTCTTTTTCTATTGTTCATGTCCTTGGTGGCAAATTGAAGAATACTTTCTGGATCCAGGGGTCATAAAGATTCATCTCCCAATCTCTGCCCTCTGTGTCTCCTTCTGGAAGTTTAATAGTTGTTAAAGAAATTGTTCTGCCAGGTGCTAATGGCTCACACCTATCATGTTTGCTACTCAGGAGGCTGAGATCTGAGGATCATGTTCAAAGCCAGCCTGGTCAGGAAAGTCCATGAGAATCTTATCTTCAATAAACTACTCAGAAAAAGCTGGAAGCGGTGCTGTGGCTCAAGTGGTAGAGCATTAGCTTTGAGCACAAAAAAGCTCAGGCCTTGAGTTCAAGCCCCACCACGGACCAAAAATAAATAAATAAAAGTCCCCCTTTTGGGGGTTTTATTTCCAAGTCACCAATAGCTGAGCCGGGCCTGACTCCCAGCCCTGTCAGTGAGGCCGAATCTCAGCCTGCTCTTGGTGTTACTCTGGAGCCATCAGGTCATTCCTCCCCCTCTCCCAGCCTCCCAGAGAGGCCTGACTGTGTGGTCAGTGAATGGTTTGCTGAGAATGGGGCTCAGATGTCTTCCCAGGCTGCCTCCTGATCTCTGCTTCCCTGCACCCTCTTCTTGCTTAGCCAAGACCGTCGTCACCGAAGAGTGCCTGGCGAGCCCCGTGGGCATGCACCGCTGCAGCGCGGACCCGCGCACCTCCACCTTCACCCACAGGGGCTCCTTGACCTCCTCCTCCATCTACTGCAAGAGGCTGACCTCTGGAGATGGCCACCTCGGGGGAGGCCCAGCCTCCACCTCCAGTGGTCCCCGTGCCAGCCCCGTGTCCTCCGGGGGTTCCTCCACGCTGAGGCCCCTGGCCTCCAGCCCCAAGAGGAATGGGACCTCCGTGGAAGGAAACCGATGTGGTAATGTAATGCATGCCTGGCTCTCGGGAGCAGTCCTTCGCCCTTGCCCCAGGACCTAGCATGGGGACGGGGTGTGGCCGTCAGAATATGGGACCACTGGGGAGTCAGAAATTCTCACTGGCATTTCCCTTATTCTCAGCTCCTGGCTATGAACAAAGAAAATGCTGTGTTAGGGACAGAGAGGCTGTAGAAATAATAAGTAAATTCCAAACTGGATACCAGCTCAAATGCCACAGGTTTGTTCAAGAGTCCAAGGTGCAGAGACCCAGGCTCTATGCATTTTGTGGCTCTGTCTTCCCAGCCATGCCCAATGCCCCAGGCATCTGGCCAATGGCAAGGGAGGGAGGGAGGGAGGGAGGGAGAGAGAGGAGTGCGGCTGCCAAGGAGCTTGGATGGGCGCACATCACCCCTACCCACACTCCCTACATACTACTGGTGTATCTCCCTCCTCCTCCTCTTGCTCCTGCTCCTGCTCCTCCTCCTCTGTCTCCTCCTCTTTCTCTTCCTTTTTGGTACTAGAGAATGATCTCAGGCCTTGTGTTTGGCATGCAGGTGCTCTATCACTTGAGCTGTGCCTTCCAGGTCCAGAGCTGGTTGTTCTGATTACAGTTAACCACCAGTAGCTTCTCCCAGTGCTTCCTTCCAGCCAGGCCTGGGATGTTCTCCCCTACTTCATTTTCACCTACCCAGGCCATTCACTCTCTTGAAACTAGACCCTAAACTGTAGTCTTGCCACACATTCACGGAAGGGGAAGTCCACACTCCATCTTGCTCCCTCCACCTTGCTCTAAGAAAGCTCTAGATGTGCACCAGCTCAGGACTTCTCTCAGGACCTTCAGTGAGATCAGAGAAATGGAGCCCTTCTCCTCCCAGCACACAACTGTATTCTGCATGTTGTGTCAAGGTTGCTGGTCTTCAGGAGTACCTCTTGGGGCTGAGGGATTCTATTAGAAAGGAAGGTTTGGGGGAAAGATACAGCGTAGGCATAGGCAACCTCAGCAACATCTCACTAGAAATGAGATGTTCATTTTTTAATCCTACACAGATCCAACAAAAGGAGGCTTGTTGGAGGCTTACATTAAATGGATCTTTATTGAGCACATACTATGGACACACCTGTTATTTATGATTATCTGTTATTTTATAGGAACTAGCTATTAGCCATGTGCCAGTGCCTCATCCCTGTAATACCAACTACTCCAGAGGCTAAGATCTGAAGACAACTGGTTTGAAGACAACTCAGGGCAGGAAAGTCTGTGAGACTCTTACCTCCAATTAACCAGCAACAAGCTGGAAGTGGAATGGGATGATAGAATACTAGCCTTTAGTGAAAAAACTAAAGGACAGTGCAAGGCTCTGTGTTCAAACTCACACACACACACACACACACACACACACACACACACACGAAAGAAAGAGAAAGGAAGGAAGGAAGGAAGGAAGGAAGAAAAAAAGAAAAACAAAAAAGAACTAGGTGTTACTACATCCAGTTTACACATAAGTGAGGATAAATAAGTCCATCAAGTGTTGAATTAGGATTTGACTTCAACTGAGTCCAAAGCCTTTCAACCCACCCAAGAAATCTTTGAGCTGTGCTTGCTGAATTTTGGAGATCCCTCGGAACATATAGGGGATGGAAAAGAAGGGATGAGAATAGATAGATCTCCAGATTCCCTCACTACTCTTTAACCAGGGCCTCTGCATTTGCAGAGTGGGGATCTCAGTATTCTTTGCTTGGATGTTTTTTTGTGGGTGTTTTTGTTGTTGTTGGTTTTTTGTTTGTTTTTGCTGGTTCTGGGGCTTGAACTCAGGGCCTGGACACTGTCCCTGTGCTTCTTTTGCTCAATGGTAGCACTCTACCACTTTGAGCCACAGCATCACTTCCAGCCTTTTCTGAGTAGTTTATTGGGGATATAAGTTTGTGGACTTTCCTGCCTGGGCTGGCTTGAACCTCAGTTCTCAGCCTCCTGAGTAGCTAAGATTACAGGCGTGAGCCACCAGCACCCAGCTGCTTGAAAAAAATGTGCACAGCTAAGGCTGTCTGGAAGTCCAGGGGCTCTGCCATGTTGAATAGAGTGGCAATGTCTTAAGGTTAGGATGGTATTCTTACCACCCCTCACCGACCTGCCAGCCTGGGTCCTGCTGTGGGCCCTCAGGAAGGCTACCAGAGTTTTCCCTTCCCCCAGAGACTCCTCCATCCCACTCAGAAATCACATCCCAAGTGAAATCCATTGGCATCAAGAAACCATATATTTTTCAGAGGGCTTGACCTAAGTCATAAACCCTGGAAGAGACCTAGAAATGGATTCTCTTCCTATGGTGCTAATCAAAATAGTTTAAAACCACAGAAGCCAGAGCACGGCATGAGGCTGCAGGCCGGAGGATGGGGATGGATGACATGACAGATCTCTGAGCCTCCTTCCTGCTCATGTGCGCACTTACCCCAACCTCCTGTGGTTCTGATATATCGACCTTGCTTGGCTGCCAGGCGCTGTGAAGGTGTGCATTCACTGGACTTGTTTTCCTGGTGTTTGCTGATCTCTGGTGAATATCTGAGAGCTCTTCCTTGCTTTTCAACCAAGGTATAATCACCAAGAGCTGTAAAGAGGGGTCAGAAAAATGAAGCTCCCAGATGTGGCCTTTAACAAAACAGAGCATTCCCAAGCACGAGTAGGTCCAAGATTCAGAAGAATCCAAACCAAGAAACAAAGAAAGAAAATGAATCTTATTGTTATCACAACCCGAATGGCCAAATTTTGCTCTGCTAGGTCATAGACACTTAGATGAATAAAGAAGGACAATGTTCAGCTTCAGGGAGGCTTCGTGTGCAAAGGCAGAGGAAGGGTTTCATCATCCTGGGGACAAAAGAGTTTTGTCAGGGATGTGGGGAACCTCACCCTGGAAGATTTGGGGTCGCTGTCAGCCAGACTCAGCTTCACTCAGTAATCATTGCACACCCTGTTTCTGCAAAGAGGCATCGCTGATGGCAAGAAGACAAAACCTACTGGCCATTCCTGGAATTACATATCGGAAGACAAATAGCAACTAGCTTTCAGTTCATTGAGACTGTTGAAGGATTTGCAACAGTAGCCCACTCCATCCACCACACACCCAGCCAATCTGGGATGGGTTTTCACAGGAGATGAGGTCACCCTTGCTAGCCAATGCTATGGAACACACCAGGCCAGGGGTGTGTCTCCAGTCTGAGGATGGAGGGTGAACCAGGCAGATATGGGCCCTGTGCTCAAACAGTGGAATTCCAGACAGATGTTAGCAAATTAGTGCACACATTTAGTCCCAACTGTCATTACTGCTAGGGGTGAAAAGTGGGGCAACTGGAAGAGCCTCAGGTGGAGAGTCAGGAGAGGCTGGTGTGGGAGTCAGGAGAGGCTTCCCAGAGCAGTGACGGAGCAGTAGGGATGCGCAGCAGGAGCTGGTGTGGGTGGAGACTGCGTAGAAGTCATGTTGTTTGTCATGGAGTTTGCTTCTGGCTGAGAAGAAATGCAGTTCAGCTCAGCCTGCCTTCAAGCCCATGCTTGTGGCCATGCTCCATCCTCACACTGGCAGGGTGGCTGGGCTTGAAGGAGTCAAAGAAAACCCTGATTAAAATCTAATGAGTGACCAGACATTCTTCTCTCTCTCTAGTTGCTCTCACCTTGTCGTCTCTTGGAGACTCTTGAGGAGACATAGTGAAATTAGAAACAGTTTTTTAAAATCCACCATGGTTTGGTAGTGCCTGATCTCATCTAGATGGTGAGGTAGCCACTAGGAAAGATGCACTTTACCAGGACCAGGTAACTTGAAGATGCCAGCCTTTCCTTTTACTACCCTGTCCCCTTCCAGCCAGCTCCAGCTGCCAGAGAGCCTGTGAGGGATTCAGAGCATGAAGCAGCCTGAGGAAGGGTCTCGTTGGCCTTTATGGGCCTCTCTTCATGGTGCTTCTTGTCACGCTCCAGCCCTGAGCTGCAGATTCACTTGAGCAACTACAAATGATGTTCACAATGTATAGACAAAGACACAAAAGCCTGTCTAGAATGATGGGAAGGCGCTCAAGCCTAGCTGTGGCTCTTCGTCTGTGTGTTTTACGTGAACACATGGACCAGGCCTTCAGAGGTGTGACCACAGTGATCTGGGGGGAAGAAGATATTTCTGACTCCGTGCTCATCACCAGCTCCACGCTCCCACACAACTCCATTGTTAGCTACAATTTCCCCTGAATTATGAATGAGCACAGGGCAATTATGAGCATTCTCCAGGGAATGAGGAAGACAGAGAGAGCTTCACAGACATGGTACAGGTACCTGTGCTATGGAAGGGGCTGGGATTGCTTTTCAACTCTGACTCCCAGCTATTCTATTTCTGCTCACTGGGAGTTGGGCTGTAGGAACAAGATTTAATTATCCATCCGTTCACCACAGGGTTTGGCTTTATACTGCCTACCAGGCCTGGGGGGAGCGACAGGACCAAGCCCCGGGCTCCCTGCTCGGGACAGAACTGCTGTCTCCTAAGGCGAGCCAGCGTTTTGCACCCAGTGTCCACATGGGAGTGAGATTTGTTCCATCCATCACAGCTTGCTGTTGACCTGTCACAGTCTGCCTGCCCTGGCTATGTCAGGCTCAACCCATCCATCTTCCTGACACCTTTGCAACAGCTGGGGGCAGGGGGGGGATTGTTTTATTTTTCTCTGTGAGCATAGACTGCAGCAGGCAACAGCTTTGCAAACTTGCGGCTGCTGCTGGAAAGTTCCATTTTTCTTCTTTTTGCAGTGAGTTTTATGTGCTTTGGGTCAGGCGCCAGTCCTGAGGTATGACCTAGGCTTCTTGCGTGGCTATGAGGCCCCTCAGAAACACTCCTGAGCCAGCCTGGCTGCTTGCCAGCCTGGAAAAGTGAAAAATGCCCACAGCAAGCATCCAGCCCCAGCCCGGGGCCCACTTGCCGGTGCGATGTCTCTTGTCCCCCATAGGCAGCTCCTCATAGACCAACCAGCCCCCCTCTGCAGGGCCCAGGACAGCTGGTGGGAAACCCCACGTCCCATTAACTGGCCTGGGGTTTCCCCCTTCCCACAAACACAGGAAATTAGATTTGACCTCTGCTCTCATCGCTCTAAAATCAGTCTTGGACGAAAGACTTCCTGCCTTTGTAGTCAGCTCGTCCCGTGCCACCCTGATGAGCGCCTGGATCCCAGTGGGGGACTCCAAAGACAAATGCGTGTTTTGTGACCCGCTCATCGCCATGTTGAACGCAGATGTCCCCAAATAGACTGAAGTCTTCTTTCCACAAGCAGATGACTCTGGGGGCGCATTCACAGCTTCCCAGCGAGATGCCCTAGGCCATACCACCTTCTGAGACTCTTCCAGGCCCAACAAGGAAAAGGCAGGGAAAAATCTCCAAGACAAGCCAGTGCTCAGCTAAACTGTCACATAGTTAGGACAGGCTCAGAAATGCGAGACCATGTTTTTCTCAGCACGAAATGTGCACCTGGCTCTTTTCAGGCACATGAAAAGGAGCAGAGGGGGGAAAAAAGAGAAAGAGCGAACGACTGCAGAAAGCCACTTTGTCTTGGATGAAAGGAAGGAGGCGCACGGGCTTCTCTGCTGATAACTTAGCATTCCTCTGCAGGGAGCCTCTGCCTTTTTCTAGCCTTGAAGTACGATTAAGGATCATCACGCAAGGCTTCTGTGTAAATGACCTCGACTGCTTCTGTACAGCATATCGATTCATTTCACAGTTAACGATCTCACCTTCCAAGTATATTTACTCGACGAAGAACCATGAGGGGTCAATGGAATGCGACCCCTGTAATGAGAGCAACACATTTGGATTTTTCACCAAATATCTGGGATCTTGGACAGAGAAGGGATGCCATATGTGTTTGTGGAATGAACCGGGAAGTCCTTGAGGAATTAAAATCTAACTGGAGGCTACATGACTAATTGTGCTACAAAGCAGAATGCAGAAACATCTTAGGAGAAGAACAAAGAAAGGTTTGAAATGAGAGAGGCAGGTGACCCTGAGCCTGCAGGAAGGTCAGCAGTGGCCCTCCTCAAGGCATTGTGTGTTGGGGGGAAGGGGGGGTTTTGATGGATGGTGGGAAGGAGAGAGGAAAGCATCTTCTAGAGCCAAGAATGGAGAAAGGAAAGTAAGGAAATGGTGGCCATAATTGGCCCAGATGAATGCACAGGAGAGCAGGGAGCCTCCTTAGGTGGAACAGCTCACTCAGGCCAGCCAGAGGCCCTGTGGTAGCACATTTCTGTCCCTAGATCTCTCTGCCACCAAAGCTCTTTGCTGCCTTCTTCTAGGAAGGAAAGGTACTATTGAGGCTGAAGACAGTCCCTGGCCTTGAGCCCCAGTGTACAGCAAGGGTGTACAGGGGGAGTTAGTACGGGAGCTGGGCAGTCAGAGCTAAGACTTAGGGACCGTGGGATGCAGTGGCAGTCACCTACACTAGAAAGAAGAGTGAGAGCAAGAAGACCATGAGAAAATCATTGCACGGGGCCCTGAGGGGTTCTCACCCAACATTCAGCAGGGCTGAAAAGGAGACTCCTAGCTAGATAGGTGTCCTCCCAAGTGTGGGGAGTGAAGAAGAGAGGAGGTAGACATGGGAAAGCTAGGAGAAGAAGCTGGCTCTAGAAAAAGAAGATGAGGTGGTTTTAGTCATATGTTTAATAAAAAAAAGTCAATTGCTGGGCCCAGTGTGCCCCAGTATGCATGAAATCCCAGCTACTTGAGAGGCAGAAACAGTAGGATCAGGTTCAAGGGAAATGGGGCAATAGCAGAAGACTACCTGAGAAACAAAGGCAAAAAATGGCTGAGGTCATGGTTTAGCTGTACCTGCCTGAACAAGGCCCTGAGTTCAAATCCAGAATTATTAAGAAGTCAATCCCTAAATACTGCCAGGCATCAAACCCAAGACTTCCTCCTTCGTCTATTGTGATTATTTTCCTGGGAAATGGCCTTCGTATAGCTATTGACCAAGGATTGGCTATAGGCCAGACAGGAGCAGGCCATTGGCAGTGAAGGATTCACCATGGAGTGGGGAAGACCAGAGTGAATGTTCTGACAGCCTTAGACGGCTGAGGAGGTGTTCTGTGTTTATGTGGGCAGCGAGCACTGTGACATTGTCTTTCTGCACAAACAGAGTCAGGGCTTCTGAGGATGAGACATGAGTTAGCCCTTCCACAGAGACCAAAATGCACTTCCTTCTGGCACATCTTCATGATCTCAGTGGGAGGCTGGTAGAAGCAGAAAGGGCCTGACACCATTTGGCCTCCCAGCCCTACAAAAGCCCTGCTGGCCATTCATCTTGACTTCTTGGCCTGCTTACCCGAGTGTCAGTCATCCGAGGCCCTGGGCCACACTGAGAGAGAACTAAGCATAAGGCTCTAAAAAACTGTCACATTAGCCTGTTGGAGGAAACATCTTTGCTGCTGCTCCCATCCCTGGGAAAGCAGGGCTTCTGCAGAGATGGGACGTTTAACGCCTCTCCATGAGCCTGTCACTCACTGCCTTTCCTGGTAGAAGAGGTCACGTGGGCCCACCTGGAACTCTAGAGCAGTGAGGGCTTCTCCTGGCCACACAGGGTAGACTATCAGGTGGTGCTAAGGCCTGACTTGGTGGCTTATGATCTCCTCATCTCTCATTCCACCCAGCCTCAAAGCCTTCTGCAGATGGACGAGAGGCCAGGAGACCAAGGAGCAGAAACCCTTCCACCTGGACAGTGGAGGATGTTGTCTGGTTCGTGAAAGACGCCGATCCGCAGGCCCTGGGGCCTCACGTGGAGCTCTTCCGAAAGCACGTATGCCAGTGGACAACCTGGGTCGGGGGGGGGAGAGTTGGGGATGGGGGAGGAGGTTCAATCCCCCCCTAGATGTTGAGGGACTGCATTAAGCTCCACAAGGCCCTGAAGGGGGCCAGAGCCAAGAGGGACAGATGCAGCCACAGGCGTCTCGGCAGCACGGCCACTCGGTTTTGTTGTGAAGGGATATTTGTGCCATCTGCTGCCTGTGTTAGCCTTCATGAGAAATGTCTGTTGTCCTGCCCATCCATCCATCCGTCTGTACCTTCAGCACTCATTTAAAGACACCCCAGTTATGCCAGGCCAACTGACTGTCGATTTCTAAACTGCTTTGAGGATTAAATGAGAAGTCTCAGAACAGCACCTGGATCCTAGTCTTCAGTGAATAGGTGGTGTTCCAATTATTTAGCTCACTCTGAAGCATGAAAAAGACGGCAAGTGCAAAAAGGCAAAAAAAAAAAAAAAATGAATACCTTACCAACCTTCCTATATTAGTTTGGGATTTCTGCCATAACAAACAGATACAATGTGATGGCTTAGTGTTTTTGTTGTTTGGTTGTGGGGCCTGAACTCTGGGCCTGGGCGCTGTCCCTCAGCTCTTCAGCTCAAGGCTAGCACTCTACCACTTGAGCCACAGCACCACTTCCGGCTTTTTTCTTTTTGCTTATGTGGTGTTGAGGAATCGAACCCAGGGCCTCAGGCATGCAAGGCAAGAGCTCTACCACTGAGCCACCTTCCCAGCCCCAATGTGATGGTTTAAAACACTGTAGATTTTTTTTTTTTTTTGGGGGGGTCTGGTCATGGGGCCTGAACTCTGGGCCTAGGCGCTGTCCCTCAGCTCTTCAGCTCAAGGCTAGCGCTCTACCACTTGAGCCATAGCGCCACTTCCGGCTTTTTTCCTTTTGCTTATGTGGTGCTGAGGAATCGAACCCAGGGCCTTGAGCATGCAAGGCAAGCGCTCTACCACTGAGCCACCTTCCCAGCCCCTGTAGATTTCTTATTTTGCTGTTCAGTAGGTCAGGAGGCTGTTCCTGTCCTCATTGGACTGTTTCCCTTTCTGCATGGTCTCCAGAGAATCTGTTCACTAATCTACTATTACCCTAGATCTACTATTACCCTTTTATATCTCCACACTGCCGTCTTTAAAGCCATGGAACAGAAGCCTTTCCCAGCTGCCTCTCTGGGATCCTCTCTTCTACTACCTTCTTCCACTGTGTGTGTGTGTGTGTGTGTGTGTGTGTGTGTGTGTGTGTGTGTGTGCCTGTGGCTTGAACTCTGGGCCTGAGCTCTGTCCCTGAGTCTTTTGGTTCAAGGCTAGTGTTCTATCACATTGAGCCACAGTGCCACTTCCGGTTTTCTGGTGCTTAATTTGAGGTAAGAGTTTCACGGACTTTCCTGCCCAGGTTGACTTTGAACCACTATCATCAGAGCTCAAACAAAAAAAGAAAGAAAGATAAAAGCCCATCTAATTAGCACACTTAAACACACCTGCAGCAGTCACCTAACATGTCCGGCAGATTTCTGGGATTGAGATGCTTGCAGAGAGAGGAGGCGGCGCTTTCTCTTCCTTCCAGTCCCTCGCTTCACCTAGGGATTCAACCATGGAAGCCGTGCTCGGAAGTGGGGAGTTTGTTTCGAAGTCCACACCTACATTTATTAGGCATATATTTGGTTCATGTGACGGCAGGAGACCTAGGACCATACCCAGGGCGGTGTCCAGACAGATTTGGGCAAGGGAGGAGTTTCTGGGTGGTCCGGTATGGTGAGTCTAGCAGGTGGGATTAAAGAGGGAAGGTGAGGAAATAAGGCTGCTAGAGGGCTACAGAGAAGCCTTGTTCTCTGTGATTTCACCAGGACACGGAGAGTGCGGGAGTGCTCTAGCTGTGCTCATTCTCCCCACCTGAGTGCTCGTGGTAAAGTACAACCTTTGTCTTAACTAACCTGAAAATGAAAATATCCTCTAAAGAGGAAGGGAGCCAGCCAGATTGGATTCTACATAGAAATTCCAGATGGGACCAGTTTAGAGACCAGTGGGAGCCATGCCCACCATGAAAGGACTGGCCCATTTCCTCCTGGGATGAGCAGGTGCATAGTTTTATGTGTGCCACCTAGAATTATTGACAGGATTGAAAAATATTTGAAATTTCTTATTGAGTGTACTTAGCAGCTCTGCAGTTGGCTAAAGGTAGGGGGCCCCCAAGAGACGAAAGAAGAGACTCCATGTCAGCCTCTGGAATGCATTGGAGTGGGGTGGGTGGAGTGGGGTGGCATAGAATGGAGTGGGGTGGGGTAGAATGGAATGGAGAGGGGAGGGGTGGAATGGAGTGGGATGGAGTAGGGTGGAAGGGAGTGGGGTGGGGTGTGTGGTTGGAGAGGAGTGAGATAGGGTGTACAGGGGCTAGTGTTCTTCACTTTTTTGTTGTTGCGCTTGTTTTGGGGCTTGAACTCAGGGCCGAGGTACTGTTCCTGAGTGTTGTTGCTCAAAGCTAGTGCTCTACCATTTGAGCTACACCTCTACTTCAGGCTTTTTTTTTTGGTGGTTAATTGGTGATAAGCATCTTTTGGACTTTCCTTCCTGGTCTGACTTCAAAACATGAGCCTCAGATCTCAGCCTCTGAATAGTTAGGGTTACAGGTGTGAGAAACCAAGATCCAAGTTCACTTTACTTTTTGTTTCATTCTCCCTTGGTTGGATATTGGTTACATAGCTGGGATATGATAGTTGATTTATTCATTCAGAAATATAAAAGATCCACAGAGAAAATAGGAACGGGAGCATATATTTCTTTAATTCCGTGTGTGTGTGTGTGTGTGTGTGTGTGTGTGTGTGTGTGTGTGTATGTATGAGAGAGAGAGTCCCAGACTAGGACTTGAACTCAGTTCTTTGGGCTTTTTCTTGGCTTTTTCTCTCAAAGCTGGTGCTATACCACTTGAGCCACAACTCTACTTTTGCATTTTTGCTAGTTAATTAGAGATAAGAGTCATTGGATTTTCCTGCTTGGGCTGGCTTTGAAGCATGAGCCTCAGATCTCAGCCTCCAGAGTAGCTAGGATTATAGGCATGAGGCAGTTTAACCCTGGGACCAAGGGAATATGGCCTCAAGTAAGTCCATAGGGCTTCACTGCATCCACATTACCTCAACAACAATTTGACCACTCTAACCATGTCCTTGGTTTTCTCTCTCTCTCTCTCTCTCTTTCTTTCTTTCCTTCCTTCCTTCTTTCTTTTCTGACTCTGTTCCACCAGGAGATTGATGGCAATGCTCTCTTGTTGCTGAAGAGTGATATGATGATGAAGTACCTGGGTCTGAAGTTGGGACCCGCATTGAAACTCTGCTACCACATTGACAAACTAAAGCAAACTAAGTTCTAATGCTTTTCAAAAGATAGAAGCAAAGCCCTACACCTCACATCTCAACTTGGTCTTCTGCCTTACCAATATCCAGCAAACAACACGAAATAGATTCTCCTCCTCAAATTAAGTGGATATATATATATATATATATATATATATATATATATATACATATATATATATTCTGTCTTTGCCTTTAAAACAAATTCAGTGTGGCTCTTTTTGAAAGAATTGTCTGTGTTAATTACTTATCAAAAAATTACAAAAAGATGGTTATTTTTAGCATTCTTGGTATCTTGGTTGCTGTTGGCATGGGTGCTATTTGTATAATGAGAGAGAGGGGAAATGAATGTCACCTACGCCTACCGCCAACTTCCACTCTGACTCGGCACCTATTTTCCTAAGCCCTGCCAGTGGAAGCTGTCTCTTCAAGATGATGGCCTCACCTTGCACTATCTGGAAAACTTGAATTCTTTTTGCTCTCCAAGAGCTTTTCTGGTCCTACCTATCTGAAGTTCTGTATTTCCCCACTAGGGGGCAGACTGCTAATGAAATTCCAGGTCCTGCTGAAGGCAAGTGGCAGCTTATTCAGAATGCAGATTTTCTGTACAAGCTCTAGCCTATAGAGAAACAGGGGATTTATCCCACAGTCGGCACCACAGATTGCAACTTGGGAAGAAATAATCATCAAGAGAGTTCTAGTGCATATCCAGTGTACTGACTGATGCCTGAGCAGCAAAGACAAGAATTTGGAAGCGTGCTGGCACCAGATGGGGCCTTGGAGTCCCTTTCCTGCTGAAGTCCTTACCCAAGCGTTGATGTGTTGGCATGCTGAAGAATCTTAGTGACATTTAGCCATGGTGTTTTCTTGGAAAAAAAAAGAAGAAAAGAAAGATGTCTCAATGGAGCTTCGCAATGGGAGAGTGTTGATTTCTCGTTACATGGCTGAATTTTGTAGTTGTATCTGTGGCTAATTTTTCTAGTCCTCAACAAATACACAGACATGCTATTACTGGGTTTAATTTAATTTACAAATAGGTTCTCCTTTCATGCCGTGGAGTAATAGAAAAAAATTGATTTTCTTCTGCTTCGCAGCTGTGTCCAGGGAAAGACTATGAATCCACTTGCCAGGCAGGGGTGACCCCTTCGCCGCATTCTCTACACCCTTCTCCTCTCTCTCTCGTTCTCTCTCCCTGTTTCCCTCCTTTTGCTCATGGAACTGGAAACATATCTTTCACACAAAGCCACTTTGGCAAAGGCAAATGCCCTTCCTTAATGCAACATCTTTAGAGATGGCAATGAGGGGAACAAATCCCGGAACGGGTAGAGGAGGACTCATGACTCTGTTAGCCAAGTATGGATCAGAGAGGGCTGCGGCCTGAGCAGGTCTCAGATGGTGAGGGGGGCTGGGCAGGATCTTATCTCCTGTGCTGGGATCAGCTGCCCTTTGCTGAACCTAATCCTCACACCTCCAGAACAGCCAGCCATGGGTAGGTCTTCATGGTGACACTCTCCATCAGTTTAGGAAAAGAAATATTCCATGCCAAGCTGTGGGGCTCTCCAACCCAGTGCTACCATTTCCTGTGAAGCCTATAGGCCAGAGTGCCTGGGCCCAGCATAGGCCAGCTCTGACTTTTTAAAATCTCACCTGCTGGGTGCCACTGGCTCACACCAGTCATCCTAGCTGCTCAGGAGGCTGAGATCTAACAAGCAAGGTTTGAAGTCAGCCCCTGGCAGGAAAGTCCATGAGACTCTTATCTTCAATTAACCAGCAAAAAAGCCAAGTGTGGAGCTGTGACTCAAGTGGTAGAGCACCCGCCTTGAGCAAAAAGATTAAGGGAAATTTAGTGTAAATTGGACTTACAAAAAAAAAAAAGATTAAGGGACAGCACCTAAGCCCTGAGTTCAAGCCCCAAGGCCAGCATGCGTGTGCGTACACACGCACACATGCATTTGCACACATGCACATACATGTGTGTGCACACATTCACGGGCACACAAATCTCACCATTCATAAAATGAATGCTGCCAGAAAAAAGAATAACTTGCCTATTTTTGCACTGAAATGCAGTTAGCAGACACCAGATTATTGGAACCATACTGCAACTAATTTTTATCCCTCTTAGAAAGCTTGTCAAACCAGTCAGCTAAATCGCTTCCCAAATGTACAGTGCACCAGGCCATTTCCCTAAACAGACCTTGCAGGGTCAGGCCCAAGAGGTCAGCCTGGCCCCAGGGAGCGCTACTAGAGGGGCCTCGCACTGACAGATGTGTATTTGTTATTCTATTGAGGTCACTTTGTTTCAGGTTGTGTGAATAAGGATGTAGCTTTGCATAATTCCAAATTAAAGTGTGTGCATGTTCCCGTTCCAAACATTTCCAATTACACTTGTCTGTTAAACACTTGAAAAAAAAATCAAGAGAAAATTCTATTGCCTGAGGCATTTTCGGTATATTCTGAAGGACATATTTCTTTTGCAGGGTTTAGTAAAAGATGTGGGGTTTGTGTTGGGGTGTGTGTGTGTGTGTGTGTGTGTGTGTGTGTGTGTGTGTGTGTGTGTGACTGTCTGTCTGAGGGCCCCTGTATTTCCTGACATTATTACATCTACTTGATTTAAAACATGGAAGTAGACCCCACTCCAGTCGACCTAGCCCCCTCTTACACCAGCAGTGGGTACCTAAAGGCAGCTGGCAGCCCAGGATGGTTCTAGGGTTCTCTGCCCACCTCCGGCAGCTAACTGGACATGCCAAACCTGGGATCCTGGCCACCAATGAGAGGCCTCACTGGGGAGCAGGTGGGAAGAGGTGTGTCTGGGCCTGGTTTGGTCCCAGCAGAGGCCACCCTGGGCTCCCTGGGCTCTCTTCCTCCAGGCTGCCAGCCAGTTTCGTGGTCTGTAGAAAAGATGCAGTGGAAAACTCAGAAGGGTGTCTGAGACAACTGGCTAAGCTGGCTTCCTTGAGAAGGGAACCATGCATTTCCTGAGAAAACAGTAACTGTCTTTACCCATGATGCACAAGAATCTATTTTTGTATGTATGTGCTATATGGAAGATTTCTCTTTTAATTAAAATTATTTTTTAAATTGTTTTAGCAGACTTCTGTCAACTCTCTGAAGAAAAGTAGAAACATCCATTAGTGAGCAGGGATTGGGATTTAGTTGTTGTCAGAAGGTCCTGAAAGATGAAAGTCTGCTCTCTCTCTACAGAAAGAGATCTTGGTATGCATGAGGAGCAGGTGTGCTCCAAAGGGCTCCTTTTCAACTTGCCCAATGGGGTGGAGCTCACATTTTTATCTAAACCTTGGGTAATAAGGATGGGATTGTGAGGAGTAGAAGAATTGGGGGGAGGCCTTGTGGTTGTTATGCAGACAGCACTATTGAAGCCACACACACACCCTAAACCTATTTCTTTTTCTTTTTTCTTTATTTTTTCAGGTAGGTTCTTAAATTTTTGCCCAGGGCTAGGCTCAGACTGTGATCCTCCTATCTATGCTTCCTTTATGGCATCCTGATGGCAGATCCAGCTTACTGATAGAGTTAGGGAAATCTTACTCTTTTTTTTTTTTTTTTTTGCCCAGGCTGGCCTTGAACTGTGATTCTCCATATTTCCACTTCCCAAATAACTTAGATTACAAGCAGAGCTGCCTCACCTAACTTTATCTCTTAAAAAAAACTGCGACATTTTAAGAAGGCAGTATGTGTGCAAATCTGTTGGTCTGACTGTCTTTTCCCCCCTATAAACATACTGGTGAGCACTGAGCACTTGGTTTGGCTCTCCTGCTGTCTTGCCATGGGCTTAGAGTCCCTGTGGCATTCAAAGGACCACACTGAGGGCCCCTGGGGGGAATCCAGCAGATGGTGAGACTTCCAGAGGCATAAACATTCCTGTTTTCATTTTGCCATGTTAAACCCTGCAGCAGCATCTGCCCAGCCACCCCCTCCTGGGGCTGCTTGCTCCTGGAGAGCCTGGAGCAGAGGAACCTAAGCAGCCTCAGCTCTCTGTCCGCCTGGCCTCATCCAAGACCAGCCCTTCATGGACAAGTGGAAGCTGCATTTTTGGCCATGTAGCATTTACTTGAAAGAAACTTACTTTGTATTTATTGCCACCAGTTAAAGATTATGGAGACAAGTCTGCTAACAATTTGCTTTGTGTAATTTGTCCTAATGCTAATGAGCAACAGCTGGGACACTTCCTGTGGTAAATTCCTTTGTGGTTTGGTTACAGTGGTATCATCGCATGCGGACTCCGCCAAAATTCTGTGTTGAGAAGAGCTCTCACTGGGGTGCTCCCAGCTTCAGGAAATTTCCCCTGTCCAGGCAAATAGAGGATTTGCTTCCCCAAAACCTGGACTCCTGACCCACGTATCACCTATCAACAGCATGATCTTTGATTTCCTCCAGGGAAAGGCCCCGGGCCTTTAAGGACACCTGTCCCCAGGTGTGCTGCTCCAGAATTGGTGCTGAGAGGGTGAGGGGCTAGGAGGATGTAAGTAGAGACACATCCTTGAGGCTCAGCAGTCATTGAACAACTCCACTGGACAGCAGATCCTACATGTACCACTTGCTGTCTCTGTTACCCTTTCAGGCTCTGCTCCACAGCTCAGCCATGTGGTCTGTGCCTTAGCCTTGGCTTTGCATCATCCATCCAAGCCCAGGACACTCCCAACGCCTCTCTTCTCCTAACAGCTCACTTGAAATAGGAGGTCCACATCAGGTGTCATTTGCTGATGACCTTCCCTTCCCTTCCCTTCCCTTCTTCTTTCTTTCTTTGCCAGTCCTAGGGTTTGAACTCAGGGTCTAGGTGCTGTTTCTGACCCTGAGCCATTTGATCAAGGATAGTGCTCTACCACTCGAGCTACAGCTCCACTTCTGGCTTTTTTTTTTTTTTTTTGAGTAGCTGGTTGGAGATAAGAGTCTCACAGACTTTCCTGGCCTGGGCTGGTTTCAAACTGAAATTCTCAGCCTCCTGAGTAGCTAGGATTCTAGGCGTGAGCCACCAGCCCTTGGCCCAAAGGCCACTTACATCAGCAAGGCAGCATCCTCAAAGCTCACAAGGCCTCCCTCTCCCCACCTGCCAACTGCGGCTTCCCAGAGTCCTGAGGAGCTGCAGTGTCTGGCCCCTGCCCTGGAGGGAGTTCCTTTCCTTAGGAAGTGGCTCACTTGGATAACAGCTTCTCGGAGACGCACAGTTGAATCAGACAGGACATTTGAGATGATGTCAATTTGGAAATCTTTCTCCCTTTGACAGAGATCATCCATACATTTACCAAGCCGCATGATCCAAACTGATTCTGGCCAGTGGTTCTGGCATTCGTTCCCAGAGTTCTGACTGGAAGAGGGGCTGACTATGTTCAGGTGAAGCTCACCAGATTCAACAAATCCATCACACTTGTGATTTTTTTTTAAATAATCCTACTTTTTAAAAAGACAATCTCACTTAGAGCCAAAGATGGCAGAGGTAATCCAGAAGGATTTTCAGTATCATTAAGAATACGAACTCTCAAGTGAATGAATGGAAGGCATAGCCCTTTGTCTCATGAATGGCTTTGAAAAAACCAAAACACTGCGTTGTTGAGACCCTGTATCTTAACTGTCTGCATCTGTGAGAGAATGAGCCAAGGAAGCCGTGCTCCCCACAAAGCCAAGTTCTGATTGAAGACAGCAAAGTAAATGCTGTCTGTTGTGAATTTATTGGGAGAGATACAAGACGCAGTTCCGAAACCCACACCCAGGTTAGGCCTTGTGCTGCTGGGTGTGGACCAGCAAGCATGTGTGTGTGTGATGACCAGAACGGCAGTGAGAACTGGGAAAGGTTACAGCCGATTGCACGGGGAAACTTGTTTTCTGGAGTGTTGCCTTCCATTAAGAAGAGCTATCTGCTGGGCACTGGTGGCTCATCTTTGTAATTCTAGCTATTCAGGGACTGAGATAAGACAGTCATGGTTTGAAGTCAGTCCAAGTAGAAAAGTCCAAGAGTTTCTTTATTTCCAATTAACCAGCCAAAAAGGCAGCCTGGAGATATTGCTCAAGTGAAAGAGCACCAGCCATGAACAAGAAAGCTGTAAGAGAATGTACAAAAATCTCTGAGTTCAAACTCTGATCAGGAACAGTAGAAAAAAAGAAAGAAAGAAAAAAAGAGAGAAAGAAAAAGAAAGGAAGGAAGGAAGGAAGGAGAAAAGAAGCAAGCAAGCAAGCAAGCTAGCTATCTAAGGCCGGATATGGTGGCTCTACTTCTATCTGTAATAACTACTTGGGAGTCAAGATAGGAAGATCATGGTTTGAGGCCAGCCCAGGCAAACTCTTAGTGAGGCATACTATCTCAAAATACAAACCAGTGGTGGTGGTACACACTTGTGAGTCTAGTTACTCAGGAGGCAGATGTAAGAGGCTCTAAGTCTGAGACGATCCCTGGACAAAATCATAAGATCCTATCTATTTGTAAAGTGACTAAAGAAAAAAGGTCTGGAAGCCTGGTTCAGGTGGTAGAGACTTCGGGTTCAGAAAATGCTCCATCACTATGACTACTTCTCTCCCTCCTCCTCCTCTTCCTCCTCC